GTAGACCCACTCACCACCGATGATGGTTCCATCGTCGTCCATCTCAAGCAGGTACGTGTAGTAGGCACCCGTCGTGAATTGGTCCACTTGGCCGGAGGACACCAGGCCACCGTCCGTGTACGTCTCGAAGATCCACGATAGACGCGACTTGACGTACACGATGCTCTTTGCCGCGGCGTTCCACGGGTATTCCTCGAGACCGTAGAAGGTCTGGGCAGCCTCCTCGAGCGACATCTCAGTCTGCTCGTACACCTTGAAACCACGCACAGGCTGGTTCCACACCTCCGAACCGGCGGTGACGTCCGCGATGAATGTGGCGTTCAACTTACCCAAAAGGTTGGCGGCGGTGATGTGGAAGAAGGCAGGGTTCAGATCACGATAAGCGGCGCTCGAGTGGCGGCCGTACTCGTCAGTTGAGTCGCTACCACCGTTAAAGCGGGAGCCCGTGAACACCGTCGAGATCGAAGAACCATCGTAGATGTCCGAGATCAGCGCCTTGAGGTCCATCGGGTGGAACGTCACGCCGTTGTGAGTCACCGGGCAGTTGGGCTCAGCCTCCAGCATTGAAGCAGGTGTCCAGGCGTGGCAAATGCCGTACCAGGTCGGGATGCAGTAGCCCGAGCTCTGACCAGCACGAATACCGCAGCCGCTACCGTCATTGAGAGAGGCGCAGTCGTTGTCCGACGTGCACTTAGGGCGCTTGCTCATGGAGTCGACACCGTTGTCCTTGGACACCTTGTCCATGAACTCCTTCACGTCAAGACCGAACGCCTTGGCGTACTTCTCGGCAGGGCTGGGCTCACCCTGACTCCACTGGACGTTGATGCTGTCCTGGTAAGTCGGCCAGTACGGACCAGGCCACGGCGACGGCGTGTGAACACCCTCAGTAGGCAGGTTCTTCAGCGTCATTTCCATCGACGTTCCAAAGTAAGCCTCAAGCTTGGCGATGTCCTTGTTCGAGTTAGCCTCCAACTTGCGCTTGGTCTGCTGCTTCTCGTCCAACTCGCGTCCGGTCATGGCGCTGTCGCGCAGCTTGCGGGTGGGCTTGGCCTCCTCCCATCCGGTTGCACAGTCCTTTGGTTTCTCGTTGCCAGGTCCTTGCACAATACCCGCCGACGGCGTAGTCGTGACGGTCTTCGACGGAGCAGCCGTGCCCGTGGTTGTATCGGTCTTGCCGGTGGGCGTCGTGGTGCCCATCTTGGCTGTCGGAGGGTTGACCGGCGTCGATGCTGTAGTCGTCGACTTGCCGATATAGCCATCCTGGTCCGCGTCCTGGGTAGGAATCTCCTTGGACACGATAGCCTTGCCAACCTTCGTGGATACCGGTTCAGTTGGTGCCGTTGTCTTGTTGGCCAGCAGGTCGGGGTACGTCACCGGCACCGTCGAGATAGTCGTGATGT